AGTGTAATTTCAATGTAAAAAAATAGCTACACTGTTATTAAGACACACGCAGGTACATATAACACGATGCGATACAGCTGCTGTAAACTCCCTCTCTTTCTCCATATTAAACAGACAATACGGCAAAAGCGACTGATGTTATTATAGCCACGAGTGAGACGACGCCGTCACGGTGGCCAGCTCCAGTGTCACTGTTGCATAAATCTGTTTCACAGCATGTTGTCTTCCCTCCTATAAATATAAATAAGCCAATGTCGTCAATGTATCAAGCATGGTGAAAATGTGAGCAATGAAAACACAGTACAGAATACGCGGCCGATAAACCACGCCCTCTAACGACGGAGCGCTTCAGTGACGTACTGTAAAGGGCTTAATTATTCACTGGGTTTTAATTTGGCTTATTTCGCTGACTGGAAAATGCGCTAAATTAAAACCCAGTGAATATGTAAAATTTAGCATAGAACACATTATCTAAATGATAAAACCGTGAATTTAAAACCCACTGAATATGCCTGAAATGGCAAATCAGTGAAATTTAAACCCAGTGAAAATTAGTCATTTTACAGTATGATGTAATGGACGCTGTCCACATCGTCAGAATTGTTTTAAATTTGCAATATTCATCGACGACTACACAACCAATCAAAATTGTCTTTTTGATCATTATCGCTCAAACTACACCCCCCCTCCCCACCCGTGCTTCAACCATCTACGTCATGTACATATCACAGAAATACTTCGTTGATGGGGTCGCTGCGGTTGTGCCGTGACGTAACCTGACAGTCACGTAACAGGTAAACAGGTAACTAAATATTTACCGGCTCCAAGTAAGATGAGGTCGGCTTCTACGCATACCGGGGAACATGAGCGGATAATGGCCGTGATGTCATAGTCAAAATATGTGAGGGTGGTCTGTGAGAAAAAAATCAAATGAAAAACCCCGTTAGACAAAAGAGAAACAAGAAAGTAATATATCTCTATTAAACGATGGTTATATTTACGTTATTCAATTTAACAAGAATGAAATTCAACGACCAAGACAAATTCTTAATCGGAGGACAGAAAAACGTGCCCATTGCATGTAAGCCACGAGTCTGTATTATTATACAAGTTATCAATACTGTGTTGACGTGTATTATACAAGTTATTAATACTGTTTTGACGTGTATTATACAAGTTATTAATATTGTCTTGACGTGTAAAATACACGTTATCAATACAGTATAACTATATTCGTGTGTAATAAACATATTATCAATGTCTTCTGGTAACATACAAGGTGGTACTACTGTTTCTTAAATTCTGCTATTTACCGTCACGTCTTATCTCGGTAGTAGCGTTTCTATTTTCAAGTAATTAATGGGAATTACTGTATAAACAATAATCAATCCTGGTGCAGACACAGCGCACAGTGTGGCACACAATGAGTGCCGCAAAAAAGCGCCTTCGACGTCGATCGCGGAGGGGACAATCAGCACCAATAATCTTACCTATGTTGTGTATTATTTATTCAATATGTCGCATATAGTGTCGTATAGTGCCCATCAAAGAATTGTTCTACTTATGAAAACACAATGAAAACTGGGAATGTACTTACCAAACAATGATCAGTACAATTTGACGTTGGTGTATTATCACCTGGCTCAAGACAATCATCGTCAGTTGTTGTACATGAATAACAATCGAAAGTTGCTGCTAACTCTGAAATGAAAAGCCATATATATATATCTTGAAGTACTATATAGTAGTCGTATTCACGTTTTATACGTGCGCCCCCTGTCGATGCCGACAAATCAAAACTCTCAGTTGTCGATAGAGTGCGCAATTCACCCTTCGTTGCCAAAACAAGAGATGCTAAATTGTTCGAGTTACGGAAATCGACTTACGAATATCGAGTTACAAAAATGACCGAGCCCATAATTTACAAAAAAAAATGCCCTCTTTTGCGAAACTAAGTCCATTGGTAACTCAATGTTCACTGACTGTTAACCGAACTTTGAGTTACGGTCAATATAGATTTGTAGTCTTGTTTAACGTTCAAATTTAGCAACTTGAATTTTAATTAACAGTTAACCGAACTTCGAGTTACGGGAAACACATTACGTTAAAGAAAACAAAAAAAAATCTATATTTTCCATAACTCGAAGTTCGGTCCACTATTAATTGAATATCAAGTTACAATTTGGACGTGGTTTCGCAAAAGTGCACATGGTTTTCTAAAATATGGGCATGGTCGTTTACGAAAACATCGAGTTACACAAATGACCACGCCAATAGTTTAGAAGCCACACCAACATTGTAACTCGATGTTCAATTAGAAGTTAACAGAACTTCGAATTAAAATGTATGTTGCTCGTAACTCGAAGTTCTGTTAACAGTTAATTGAACATTGAGTAACAATTTGGGCGTGGTTTCGCAAAAGTGAACGTTGTTTCTAAAATATGGGCCTCGATGTTTTCGATGTTTTCGTAACTCGTTGTCCGTAACACGAACAATTCGGCATCTCCTAAATAACAAGGTTGTGGCGAAGCTCACATGAAACTACTATTATTTGATAATGTTGTTGCCCGCTATATAGCTAGCTAAAAACCTCTCACTTCGCTAATTGCGCTAGTTCCGGCAGTCCGTTGTCCCACCGTGACGTTTTTAGTGTTATTTACCAATCAAGATCCTGATTAGTTCTTCAGATCAAACGCGCTCGCGATTTCCGATTTAAGTCACGCGTGATATGAATATCTCATTACTGATGGACTCATGAATGTTGAAACCTAACACAATGTACCTACCATACGCTGTTGCCACAACAAACAGCATAACAACCATCTTCTGGATACAGTTCATGGCGATGATTTCAAGTTCTGTGGAAAAGGAAAAAAAGAGTGTATATTTCGTGGTAACCCGGCTTTTGTGGTACCTCGACTTTCGCATTTACACACTCCAATGATATTTTATTTTATTATAACAAACACCAACAAAAAAACAAGAGACTTTTTTATTGAAATATAATTTTCTTTTGATAGAGGGCGTTATGGATCCTGGGGCCGAGGTGGACGAAATGAAGGTTATTCCAGCCTTCGCTGAGGCCATTCACACGGCTAAATCGATCAAAAGTCAAAAAGGGGCACAAGGTTTTATCGTATAGATATAAACAAATATTACGGACTATA